TATATATATATATATAGATACGGAACCTTGACTCAAACATAGTTAAGATTGTCGCTATTAGCGGGTGGTAGTGGCAGCTCTGTGCTTCAGCTTAGGCTTTAGAATAGGGTTTCGGGCTTAGGGTTGAGGGTTTAGGGGTTTAGGGGTTTAGGGTTTAGGGGTTTAGGGTTTCGGGTTTCGGGCTTAGGGTTGAGGGTTTTAGGGCTGAGGGTTTAGAGGTTGCAACGGGTGACCTTGAACTATGGGGTCATACTCACGGCAAGCAAGTCATCTTGCTCTGACAGCCATCATTTCCCGCATAACCCCATGAATTCGCCTCAGGGTCCAAGGACCCAAATATTATCGTTTTAGGTCCGCAGAAACCATGCAGATTATAGTCTTTGGGCCTAAGACCCCATGGTTTGGGTACCTGGAATCTTAGGGTCCTTGTACTCCCCCCAAACCCCCACACCGCAACAACACATCCGTATCAGCAAGTATCTCCTTTTGGTAGCCTTCCACCCTACTTGGACGGTCAGGAAGACTTCCCTTATAATCCATATAGTAGCCCCGATTATCCCCATTATTAACCAATTTACTAAGGCCCGCCGACCCCAAACGCTAAATACTACAGTAGTTTCCATTTTCTTCTCCAGTATTACTATTTGAACCTGCTTACTAAGTCCCCCTGACCCTCCAAGCAAGCCAAAACTGCACAGATCAGGTCGAAAGAAGGACGACTTCCTGATTTGCCGTTGCGGCCTGTGGAAAAAAAGGAACGATGAGAAGGATGTATAGGGTTTCAGGGTTTAGGGTCAGAGCTTTCGTGGCTAAGGATTTTGAAGTTTGGGTGTTAGTCCATTGGTTGTGTGAAGTTAGAGAAGAGGGTTCAGCACGTAATGTCCTTGCGCTAATTTGACCGGCCTCTTAGCTCTTATCCAAAATCAGGCGGGCCTCCGCCGCCTATACAGCTTCTACAGTGATATACTATGGTAGTTTCCATTTTCTTTTCCATTATCCCTATATAACCCCAATATACCATAGTAGTTTTCATTTTCTTTTCCATTATCCCTATATAACCCCAATATACTATAGTAGTCTCCATTTTCTTTTCCATTATACAGTGTGGGCCTAAAGTGAGCCAGAAAAAGTCCAGCTCCGGCGCTCATCTATGCAGAGGTGCCACTAAAACTGCTATTATATATTGGTGTTATATAGGGATAATGGAAAAGAAAATGGAAACTACTATTATATATTGGGGTTATGTAGGGATAATGGAAAATATATCAAAACCCCAAACCTGGATTACAACAGACAGCTTCTCTTTATAGGAGCACGCACCGTCCACTTGACACTCAGTTGCCAAAGGCCTGCATGGGTCTGAACTCAGCACCACAACATTCTGGACAAGACGTTGCTCCTTTCAAAAATGCTACACCCCCAAACCCCTAAGTCATGGCCCTAAACTCTAAACCTTAAACCCTAAACCCAAAACCCTAAACCCTAAATCCTAAATAGTGGGTCTGTACCCCATAACCTGAGATGAGGACCTAGCCCCTACTGTAAGAATGACACCGTGGTAGGCATGATGACAGCCTCATGGCACAATGAGGTCTCTCCCCAACGGGTGCCGACATCAATAGCCAGTGTGATTTCCATGTAAGGAACGCTACGCAAATATCATGATCTTATAGCGTCAGCAGCAGAACAGTGCAAACATGTCTTTGATAGCAGCAGTAGAGTAGTGTTCGTTTCGGGCATGACAGTGTTTGTTACCCCTAGACCCTAAATCTTCAAGTAGACGTTCCCCGAGGGAGAGGCAAAATATACATCCTTCTTGCTTTCTCGCAGAAGATGCTTGGGGTTCTGGGCACTCAGGAACTTTGGAGCTATGCAGCTACCCCCTCAGGGTCCATGTACCCAGTGACTGGGTACTTAGACGCGCGCGCGTGTTGTCCAGGTCCTAGCGAAAGGGTGTCCGAACCTTTTGTATATCTTGAAACTTCTTGTTTTGGACCCAGTCGTCAACTTGCATATGTTCCGCGAGTGTGGATCGCTGCTTCGGTCGCACATCTAAAATTACCATAATGGAGAGTCTGATGGAACAGAAAATGGAGCTTGAAATGAGCAACTTGCTTTCAAAAGAAACCTTGCGACGATATGCAAGAAGGAGACTGAACCTCACAAAGCCTTCATGCGCATAGATCCCGAACTCAACACGGATTTGCAGCGGTTTTCCCCAAAACCCCAAAAGCGGCCCTATAGAAGCTGATAGTGTTGGGGGAGGGTAATCGGTTAAAGCGGCGATCTGTTGCGTAGGTGGCAAAGGACATCCTAAGCTTCCGCTGGGACTGGCTGAAGCAGATGATGGGGCCCGCAGCCTATCCATTAAGGGCTTAGGGAGTTTAGGGTTTAGGGTTTATGGCTTGTCTCTGTTCTTCAAGTAAATCCTTTTGCCTCTTCTTTTGGGGGGCCTGGGTTCCTGTTAAGTTTGAATTGATACCGAAAAGCGAGTGCCTGGGTAACAGTGCCAATTTGTTACTTCTCTGTTTTTTCAGGTGAGACTCCCTTTATTTCGATCACCATTGTGGGCCCCCTTTCTATCCAGAATTCCAGGGGTACAAATCTAGACGCCAGACGATGCCTAGTGGATCCAGATTGCTGCATTGCAGCCAAATCAAACGCATCTGGCATAGTCGTTGAACCCTAAACCCTAAACCGCAAAGCCGTAGCGGGAATTTCGTCCAAACCGAAGCTTCTCGAAGCACAAAATGGAGCCTGCGCAGCTGCACCGTGTGTTGGGGGTCAGCAACAAAAAGTCAAACCTACAGAAGGGTGGTTGTCAGAAGTATGATCCCTCTTTGGGTACCCTAAATATTACAGTAGGTGCCGGATTAGAATAAGGATCCCAAAAGGGACTAAGATGATATATAACCCCAATATAATAGTTTCCATTTTCTTTTCCATTATCCCCATAGAACCCCAATAAAGTCCTTATAATCCCTATATTGAGGGTACCCAAAAAGGGACCATAATTTTGACAACTAAACCCTAAACCCCTAAATCACCCAGGCGTGAAGCGCAGATGTGCCAGCTGTTTTGTGGCCGGCCTGGCTTTCTTGGTTGGTTTAGGGTTTAGGGTGTAGAGGTTTAGGCTTAGGGTGTAGGGTTTAGGGCTTAAGGCTCCGAATTGCCGGGAAGTTCTGATTCTAGGAATATGTAGGGCTGAGGGTTTAGGGCTTAAGGTCGGGCATCTCAGGCTATTAATAAGCTATAGTCTAAGCTCCTAGTATCCCCCTTCATAAGCTCCCCTATATAACTTCCTCTGGGGGGCTTAGACTCTAGCTCAAATAAGGTATCCTCTGGCACTTCAAAAGTAGAGGTCTTATTAGCAAATTTTAGTTGAACAGCTCTCATGCCTGAAGCCGCTGAGCAAAGTATAGCCCAAGGAGTTAAGGTTTAACCCTAAACCCTAAACCCTAAGTGACCTCACAGAACATCAGCTCAAATAGGGCTTAAGGTTGGTAAGCACTTAAGATTTGATCCCAAAACCCTAAACCTTAAACCCAAAATTTGAGAAAACAGATAAACCCTTAAACACCAAAATTGGATCCCAAAACCCAAAACCCTAGAATTGAGGAATCCAAGGAGCAGGGATGATCCTAGTGCACCAGGCTTGGAGACATGGGAACCCAATTGGGAATGGCTCCCCCTAATCCCTTTACCTTGCCTTGAGGGTCCAAGGACCCAAATAATTTAGGGCCTAAATACTTGCATATTAATGGTATTTGGGTCCTTGGACCCTTAGGGTTGGCTTTATAAGCCTGGGGCCGCTAGGGCCTGCCATTTTAGAAGCTCGATTTCTGGCAGTGATTGTGCGGAGGGGCTTCAGAATGGTCATAGGGTGTAGGCTACTTGAAGCAGCCTCAAATGCGGCGGCGGTGCTACTACCCGTGTCCAGCGAGCATACTTTCTTCACACCGCTTCATCCACCCAAACAGGCTCGACAACAATGTTCCGTTGGGCTACATCCTGCTGTCCGTGCCAGCCTGGGTTTCTGCATTGTAGCCACAGATCCTGTAAGTAGGAAGCCCCTTTGCAGGGGCATGATATTGCTCAATCACCTGGATGTTCCATAGCATTTTCCTGCATGCCTCATCCTTTATATATGTATATATGCACATATTTCTTCCAGCCACCACCTGTGGCCATCGTTCATACCTATCCCAATTATTCTGTCAAGTCCCAGCCCAATGAACCTCAATGAACCTCACAGGGTGTGCCGGATTCAGTCTATATAGATGCATGCAATCCGCAGAAGCTCCTATACTTGCTCTTCCCACGTTCTCGTAATAGTCACAGTACCGTACAGCGTAAAGCACCTAGTTGAATCGGTTTCTGCTCTTTTTAAAGCTCAAGAAAAACTCCTGTTCACCTCTCTCCTATGTTCCATATAGGACTTTCCATTTCTAGTTCCCCCCTAACACGGGGACCCTAAACAGGAAATCTGAACCCTAAACCCTAAACTATAAGAGGACAAGCCTAACCCCATAACCAGCCAGGAGTGGAGGGCTTCTCTCCATGCCACTACGATCCCCAGGACTGTTTTTTCAATCGGACATAAGTTGGGTTTAGGGTTTTTAGGGACTGGTGTAGAATTGGACATAACTTAGTAGGGACGAAGAGTACATATTACAGAAGGGCTATAGAGGGAGCATATTCACTTATTCCCTACCAAGAACCAGCAGGATAAGGTGGGTTTAGGGTTTAGGTTAAGGATCAAAATCAAACATATCAAAACAATTTTCAAAATTAGGGGTCCCTTTTTCAGCGTACGTAAGACGGATTATAGTGGATTGAGGTCTTTATTTTCCCGCCTCCAATTTATGAACCCTCCCATCTCTTCTTGTTGGATATCTCATTCTCTTCATGTGTGCTATACATTGTACCAAATTCGCAAGCACGGGCGGTACCTGGACCCTGGACGTCCTTCCTTTGTCGGGTTCTGTCCTACATACGTATAAGGTATATCCCCAAAAAGCTAGAACATCCAGGCTCCAGGTATGTTTATCCTGAAGATGCAGGGCTTACAAACAGCCTGGCCCAAGTTGGGGTCGATCCCATCATTCTGAGGGTATGGTTTAGGTTTGAGGGTTTAACCTGGGTTTAGTGTTTAGGTATGCATGGGGGCCTGATTTTTTTAGATATATACTCACATGGAAGCCTCAACATCTGAGTTGAAATGTGCAAGTGTGCCTGCAGTCATTTTGCGGGGTCATACATTATCCTTCGGGCTGCCCTAGATGTGGTAGGATGCTGCCCTGCTCCCAACAAATGGAGAACCTGAGGCTCAAAGGGCCCAAGTGCCGAAAGAATAGGACTTTGAAAACCAGAAGCCCTTCAGATTATGGCATCTGAGGCCTGAAGCCCTCTGATTTGGGTACTTGAATCCGTTTCTGGTTCTCTCTATAAAAGGGATCCTGGTCTGTCTGGGGCTACGTATTCCCTGTTTCGAGTCATTGAGGCGCAGGCTTCTGGTGTGGTCCTTGACACCCACCTGCCCTTGAACAACTTGAAACCCTCAACTCTAGGACCTGGATTTGAAACCCTAAAACCCGAAACCTTAATCTTGAAGCCCTAAAGCCCTCAACCCTAAACTCTAGGACCCCAAAACCCTAAACCTGAAACCCTAAAACCCTAGACCCTAAATCGACAGGACAATCTATTTGCCCAGATTGCTGGCTACAAGCTGGAGCCTGAGTGAACG